TAAATCAACAGAAATCTTTCTGAAATCTTAATTTACCACGAGATTTGTGTCCAAAGGCTTTGCTTTGAATGCTTTTTACTGTAGGTTTACATATGTGTAAAAACCACGACGCCACTGTGACCTAGATGTGAAATTTAGATGTCCGGATGAAATGGAAACGAAAACAGGGTATGCCATTTCGACCTGAGCACGAGATTCGTTTTGTTTTATTCACAAAACAGCCGACGGCTTGTTAACACACTCGAGAATAATGGGCACCGTGAATATATGCGCGTTTTGGAGAGTCGCCGTGGTCTGTAGAGCAGCGAAGACCGGACGAAATAAATAAAAGTCCAGGAACACGTAATTAATAAAATGCGAAAAAATTGAGAAGCAGCGTAAGCAAATTTCTACTTCGTTGAAATAATGAATGGAAAACCAAAGTCACTAAATGGAGGGGATAAAACTGGTTCCCAGCAATACTTTTAATCGCAAATAATAAGAAAAGTGTGTTCTTCCGTGCGTTCAAACAAACTGAATTTTTTATACAAAAAATTCAGTTAGCAATGAGAAGTGGCATATACAACATCTTCGAATAGGAATGAAAATAACTCTGAATATAGTAAATAATATGCAAAATTAATGTTTGTTATAGTAAAAGAGACTTTTTTAGTAATTGTTTTGGTTAAAATATTTGCAAAAACCTTTTTTTTCATATTAACTTGTCGTAAAATCGACTTAAAATTTTTGCCGTTTATAGTAGGTTGAGAATCTTTTAGTTTGCCACCAGCTTTTTACGTTCATAATAGTTTCTTGTTAATTTTTATTTTTCACTTATTTATATTTACTTATTTTGGTGTTCTAGAACCATTTTGCTCTCTACCACAAGCACACTTCTAATTGTTTCATTCGCTTAAACTTTAAACTCTAAACCAACGAACGAGAATAAGCTGAGGGTAAAGCATACCAAAATAAAATAAATTAAAAAAAAAAGAGGAAAATCAAATTTTAAATACCGAGAAGAAAAGTGTGCACATTTTCATTCTCTTTGTATTGTATGTTTCTCCTGAAAGTAATTTAAATTACATCAACATTTTGTGCTGAAGTCAATTTTATGTTTATTTTGTTGATACTTCCTAGCGGAAAAGTCAACCACCAAACGAAAATACAACAATGTAACAAAACCATATTCTTTTATTAAAAAAGCTTTTAGGAGAATTTTTTTATTTACTACCATTTATCTTCTTACCTAAAGATTCAAACACTACATAAAAGCTGCGTGGTCAAGAACTCGCGAAACCAACCAACTAACTAAAATAAAAGTATGCGTCAAATATTTTAATTGTAATTGAACCTGCGTAAGCAGTACATTTTTTAAATTTAATGCAATTTGCAATTCAATGCAAATTAGTCCAAAAGATACAAGGTGTTACAATTGAAAATTTAAAGTAGATATTTGGATCATCACATGACGCAACAGTTTCATCATAGTGAATCCAAAATCTTTTTAATAACAATTTTAGATCTAAACGGAACCTAGCTGAACCAAATATTTTAATCCAAAGAAGGCATTGTTATCATACGTCCCTTTTTTTAGCAAATATCTTGTATATTTTAACAAATTCGCTGGCGCCACAATAAGCTCCTGTCTAATTAGTCACTCGATCAACTTTAAACAAATAACCGGCTAACCGCCAATCGTGTGTGAGATTTTTGTAACGGTTTATCGCACTGCGGTAAAGTATTAAAAAAATATACGGCCAATTTATAGATTACGCGGGGGGAATCATTTCTAAAAATAACAAGGTAAAAATTTAACATGTATTCTAGAACTTTTAAATTAAATATTAGCCGCAAAAAAACTAAGTAAAAAATATGTATAAAATTATATTCGACATAACAAATAACAATTCACAATTATTTAGATCTTTTTCTCTTAATTTAAGTTTCCCCAAACAGTTAGCAACTTATATTATCCAAATTTCATTTATATTGGTTATTTTTGGATTTTAATTTATAGTAACTTTAGTTTGGTGGCTGAGAACTAGTTTGATCTAAACCACAAAAGGTGTTAATTGTTTCATGCGTTTAAAAACATTTTGAGCAACAAAATAAAACAAATTTGACAAATGAGAAGAATTTTAGACACCTTACATTTGACTGTTTCGGTTAGTTTTGTTAAACAATATATAGATACTAACTTGCCAACATAATAATGCGATTATCTTCGAACGTAAACTGGAAAACTTGAACTTGAAAAATTAGATTACGACCAATCAATCTGACGTCAAATTCTACTTCCTGTTTTAATTTTCCATTTTATCACAAAACTGATTTATTTTAATTAACTTAATCGTTCAAAGGCGAAAGCCGACAACAATGTAACCGCCAAATTTGATTTCCAGTGGGTTTTGAAACTTTAGCCGGTGCCACGTCACGCTGCGACCTGTTGCAACACGTTCCTGCAAATCGGCAAGTGGCTGCGGTCTTTGCATTTTAAAGGATCTATTACTTTTATTTCTAAGAACTGGAACCTTGACCGGAGATATTGTTACAGAATTTATTCAAAATCGCAAAAAAAAAATTAAAAAAAAAACATATAAAGACTAAGCAAAGTGCAACAAGAATTAGGTCAACTAACAAAAGAAACTACTAGAAAATAAAAGACGCCGAATCAAAGAACTTCGAAAAAGTCGATTTTGACTAGAATTTGATTGAAATCGACAAGAAAAGGTTAATAAAAGGTGTGACAGAGAATGTGAGGTTCGAAGTTGATATCTGCCGGTTTGATATAGTTTTCGTTACAATTAGTGGCGGAAAAGACGATCTGGACTGGAATCTCGTCAAAAAGAAAAGGAATGGCAAATATTTGACCCAGAAAGTGAGGTTTTATGTTGATAAAATCTACGAGGAAAGGCTATTTGAGAAACTAAGGTTTTAAGCTGTTATCTGCAGTTTGGATGTAATTTCTGGCAGATATCAACTTACAATCTCAGTTTCTGCGTCATCCAGTAACTTTTTCTCGTCGATTTCGATCCGATTACGGTCAAAGTCAAAGTCACTTTCTGTGTCATACAGTAAGTTGGACTCCTAGGTATTTCAGATTTGTGACGGAAATTATGACAATAAAATCTGTATGACGGAAATTATTTCTGTTTCCAGAATGGTCGCCAGGGGGCATAATGGCATTCTTGATTTTAAATCCAATTTTTCTCTATTCCTTTTCGTTAAATGGTTTTTGCTCTATGCAGCATGTTCGTAAATAAATGTCGATAACTTCAGAATTGCTGAACGTCTTTTGTCAAACTTGGAGTGATCGAAAAAGGGTTTTTAGGTTCCTCTGAGCTTGACTTAGATCGCTCCTAGAGGGCGTTTTGTGATATCATTAAAAATAAAATTTCACAAAATATCGCTTTTATTTATTGCAACAAAAGATAGGAGTATAACACGCTAGTGAAAACCGTAATCTGATATCTTTTTAGTAATATGTAATATCAGTAAAATTTAAAAGAATTTAAAATCATTTCTCATTTTTAGGAATATTGTTAGTATACCTGCCATTGTTAGATCCTGTTAAAATACTAGAATTGCATTTAAAATATCAATTATACCTTATGCAATTCAATATGATTGCCCATTTGTCCACACGATATTCGAAATTATTAAAATCGAAGTGTGCTTTACAAAACAAAACAGCAAAAATTTTAATATTTTACGTGTCAATTATATTAAGCATGCAGTAAGTATGTATCTTGGTAAAGAAAGTGAACTTTCCGCCACATATTCTATTTAAAATTACATCAAACCTGCAGATATCAATTTGGAACCTCACACAGTAAGTTGACCATGAAAATAATATCTTAATGCTATCAAATTTACAATAACAATAACATCTACATGGCGAAATCTACAAAAAAAAAGAATAAAAGAACTAACACATATAAATAGCAGTCCTTAAATCCACCTGAAGGGGAAATGAATATAACAATTTTATAGTTCTAAAAAAAGAGGAAAAAAATTGAAAATAACAGACACTGGAAAAACGATTAAAAGGAAAACAAAATAATTTAAAGAAATTAAGAGGTTCAGCCCCTCCTTAATCTCACCAACTCTTTTAATTTCTTTTTGAATGTTGAGGTTGGGGAACAAGCAATAATATCCAGTGGAAGTGGAATTTTTGGTACTCGCTGCTATATTTGGGAACATAAAACTGGTTACGATGACGAGTTGTCCTGCTCTGTATATCACTACCCCTGATGATCAGTATATTTAAGAGATACCGACGCTTTTGCGGACCTATCAATTTTATAGAATAACGTAGACATATGTACAAAGTATCTTTTAGACAGATTTAAGCTGAATCCCTGGGTGCCGGCGTTATATGATCAAATTTACATAAACCGTAGCTGTGTCTCAGACAGGCATTTTGCAATTTTAGCTGGTTGTATTATGTCCTTCCGTCTTGGAGCCGGCCAGTAGATAAAGTACGCATATCCCAATAGAGAATGAGAGAGTCACAAAATTAGCATTATACATGTGTACTTTCAGTTTCAGTAAACCCACTTATAAAGACCAAAATCTCTTTAAAGGAAATGCGGAATAAACATTAAAAAATACTTCAAACTTTCTTTAATGCCAGTGGACAAAAAGTAATACATGCCATATGTGATTAACAAAATGTACTTTGAGAAAATAATATTAGCTGTATATCACATGTCCGTCATGAAAGTAACTTTGTGTAATAATTTTTGATTCAAAGAAACTTAATCCGTCTTAGGTTGAAATATTTCAAAGTGTGATTGTATCGTTTTATAGTGGTTAAGCTAAAAGTGAAGATTTAACTTATAAGCAAAGTGCAAATTTGCATACACTTTAAGGTAGCTTAACGCACTGGTCCTGCGGGAGGGAAAATAAAAGATTAAAAATGGACGCCAGGCTTTCCAATTATTAAACTCAAATTGATAAAACCACTTTCTGACACCAAAGCGGAATTTGCGCGATTAAGGCAGATACACACTCACCATTCGATGCTGCGATATCCCTTGGCGCAGCAGTGCAACTCCTTGAACTTGCCAACTATAGCGAACTCCTCGTTGGTCGCCTCTTTGGTGAACTGCATCTCGTTGCCGTTGTTATTGTACACATTCAACGAACAATAGTCTTCGATGGCGATCGCGGCGCCGACCAAAAAGTACCAAATCAACGCGCGACTTGAAAGCCCCATTTTTTACTGGATTATTATTTTTAAATGAGTAGGATTCGATATCCCGCTAATACCGCGGCACCATCGCGTACTGACAGAAGCGAACAATTGAACTACAATCGGAGGTTTTCGCGCGATTTACTGCGTGCGCATGCATTTACTGCGACCCGGCAGTTCTAACGTTCCGCACCGATCTGTTGCCGATGAATCAAATTTGGTAAAAGCCGAGCTTTGCCATGTGCTCGGGCTAATTCAAATTGGTGTTATACCTGCGCGCCGGCTCGGTCACCGTGGTGGGGATGAGTCGCGACTAGGACAACAAGGCGCTGCAGTAAATCTTTCCGTCATTGCTAAACTATTGTCAGGGAAAAAGGGCAACTGCGATTTTGTCAGGTTTATTGTTCCAAACGATTTCATTTCAGGTAGTTGTTGGACGAAACAAGTATAGGCTTGCAGATAGCTTGTGTTGCGGATTTACGATCCTGGGTGACTTTCGATCGAGGATTAACATTTTAATTATGACTTGTGAGCGTCGGTTTCGATCGATCACATTTTCAGCGTATACGTGTGGATAGAATAGTTGTAAATCGCTGCCAACTCACAGGAAAACGCCGTTTTTTTTCGGTATATAAGTAATAATAATATATAATAAATTGGATTCTTTTTCGTAAAATAGTCTTTTGCTCTAACTGTGTAGTGGGCGATATCTGAAAATTTTTCGGAAATAATTGTATCGCCGCTATCGGGTGAAAGGGTAAACTTTATTTTCTAATAATAATAAGCTCAATACGCTAAGGAAATCCACATTTCGATGTCACTTTCGTGGTTCATAATATCAGTAACAGAAATAAAAACAAAATAATGTCGCCATTTTTGGAGACATTTCTGTTAATATTTAAACATTTTCATTATCGCAACAGAATATATTAGAAAAATGAAAAACAGTAACACACAAAACGCTGAGGTTTTTCCATTTTAATGCAGGATACTCCATCGGATAGGTTCCAACAGATACAGTTGCGTTTCTAGGATCTTCAAAATAAGTACGAAATATATCAAGCACTTTTACAGGTAGAAACGGCATTTTTTTACAAAGAAGGGCACAAGGGTACATTATAAATAGCTGCATCGTTAATATGATTGACACGTAAACACCAACATTATAATTTTTGCTATTTTGTTTTCCAAAGCACATTTGGATTTTAAAAATTTCGAATTCCGTGTGGACAAATATGCAATATTCATATCATTTTGTACTTTAAAAGGATTTATTATATACTAAATTCCATAAATATTTCCAAAGGTTAAATTTTACTGATATTAGATAAAAATATATCAGATTGTGGTTTTCACTAGCCTGTTACACACTTATTTGGCTATCTTTTGTTGAAATAAAAGCTATATTTTGTGAAATTTTATTTTCAATGATATCGCAAAACGCCCGCTAGCGACGGTACAAGATATCTAAATCAATCTGCTCAGAGCAGCGTTGATAGTCTAAAAAGCGCTTTTCAACCACTCTAAGTTTGACAAATTGCGTTCAGCAATTTTGAAGTTATTGAGATTTATTTCCGAGCATATTCGCCCACCTTCCACGTCTCTCCTTTTAACGATAAAAAACCATTTAACGAAAAAGATATCGAAAAAACTTGGATTTTCATTGTTTTGTCATGGCCGCTTTGCTTGTTTAGATTACTTAGGTTTTTTCCCCCCAAGTCCTCGTTAATGATCCAGCAGGTATATGTATTTTGCAATTTGCATTTTATTCAAAACAAATGAGCTTATGACTGTCGAGTTATGGCCTCAGTATATTGCTCGCAGGTAACTTCTGCAGAAGGAAACACCTTTTGTCATTAAGAATATACCATGTGAGTTGTAGAAACACGGATTTGCCAGAGTTATGTTAAAAATGAGTTATCTCTAGAATATTTTCACAAAGAATGCGTTGTCGATTGATTTTTGTAAAGGTTTTTGAAGAGGTTTGGAAAATTTTCCTGAAAATGAACCATTGAAGGTTTTGTTGTGTAGGCATTTTATCGAGTGTTTCTGGTACTGGCAAGGTTGTTTTTGCAATGACAAAAAAGAAGATGAAGCGTTAAAAGCTTTCTGAAAATTTTTACAAAGCTGAAAGAACCTTTTGAATATCCTATAAAATTATTCCAATACAAATAACAATAATCATTGAACTTGAAACCTATAGTGAAACGCCAAAATTTTGGAGTTTAGCGGAACCGGTGTTTAAATCGGGTCTAATTGTAAATGGTACAACTTCTCGTTAAATTTTGGTTTAGTATTAAAAAAGGAGCAATAAAAAAACTGATATAGAACAAAAACTATTCTACGATTGGAACCACAGAAAACTATTGTCAGTTTAACACCTCCTGCCTAGATGGCGCGTTACGCAGTTTCACTTGCCGTCGAGTTTCCAATTTATTAATAGATATTATTTTGTTAATTTTTATTTAAAATGCCGCAACCATCAATAATATACATAATGGTTAGGTATGCGTCAAGAAAATTCTGGGGGAAGAATCAGCCGTCTACGTCATAAAGCTACACCTTTTTTAATTTTTTTTGCTTTAATAGTTTGGTGTGTGTACAAAAATTGCCTACCTAGAAGGTATTTAAAAAAAGTTTATTGTAACCCTAGACGTTGGTAAGTGTACTCAAGTTCGCTGACCACTACAAAATCTGATTAGTACAGCAGTTGTTTTCGACAAAACATGTTTGAAATAAGTCTTCCGGTGCGAGCGACACTAATAAAATGTTATGCTTGTCTAATGCTTTTCTTAAAGATCAACGTATTATTAAAACAAACTAAATTATGTTCTAACTTCCTCTTATTTTCACATTGTCGGAATTATATTTGCTTAAAGTTGGCTCTTATATATTGCTCAATATTCCTGCGCATCCGCCATATTTCATTAAATTAACATTATGGATTTAATCGGTATGAGGTGAATAATTTCTTTGGTCTGATTTTTTAAAGGCCGCCTTATATTATATTTTATAAAAATACATTTATTATACATAATATATTTATTAAGAACGCACATATATTCAGGTATTTGGAAAGCCCGGCGCATTCACCGGAAATGAGTTTTTATTTAATTTTGATGAGATTTAACATGTTTGCCCCTGATATTGTTAAAAAAAATTATATAATCGAACCAAATGATATAAAGTAGTAATTTCAAAGCTTCACATTTGATTAAACATTTTATAACAATTCGAATACAAATAAATAAATAAATAAATATTAAACAGAAGAAATCTAAATATATTCTAGTATCATGGTTGTTATGTAGTTGGATATAGTATCTTTGGTTATTTCTTCCGTAGCGAGTAGATGTTTTTTTAAGTCGACCAAGATTTCCTAAAAAAACATACAATTTATTGCATCGAAATTAGGAAAAACTGAAATTTTGACCTACTTTGGCACACGTACAATCAACTTCCAGTTTGTCGTCTTCCACGCGATATATTATGTAATTTGCGAGAAACTTCACCAACGGATTCAAAACACATTTGGAACATGTTGGTTCGTACGAAGCCCACATGGCGAAAAACCTGTAGGCCGTAGTTAGCACGTTCGATATCGGCTGGTCCAACAGATGATTGTTAAAAAATCCACTCAAAGACATCTGAAAACATCGAAATTCATATAATATTACCAGAGATTCAAAAATTTCCTAGCATCATTAGGAGTGATATTTTTTCACATTTTTCTGCATGTTTTTTTATCATATAAAAATTGCTTTTAATTTTTTGGCGATAGGCACGATACAATTTTTTCGACCAAAATTTGCTTGATTACTTTGGTGCAGTTTCATTTTTGAAGGATGTTTTTTAAATTTGGACATTTAATAGAAACTTAATGCTTTAATGTATTTACCACTCACATACAAGTATGTAGTTAGGTCGTAGTAGGGGAATAAGGAAAGTTCGAGCCCAAAACTAAAAGAGAGAGATGGGTAATAAGTGTTGGATAGTTTTTTATTTTTTTATTCAGTGTAGTTCTGCTGTATTTAAGGATAACGTAGGTTACATTAATATGCGGTTTTTTAAAACTCAAAATCAGACTTCATTTTTTTGTTTTATAATAGTTTTCCAGATTAATTTGTAATACTTGAGAGTTTTTAAATATGATCATTGTCATCCGCCAACCTGTTGCATCCACGGTTCGACATAGGTCTCCTCCATCTCCTTGCACAGTATTCTGTTTTGTGCCTTCTGTTTCCAGTTTCCCGATGTTTTTCTCAGGTCTCTTGTTGGGGGCTACCCCGATTTCTCTTATTTTCTCTGGGTCTCCATTCTATCAATATTTTGGTAAACCTATTTTAGTTCACTAGCCTGTTTGCATATCGGCAAGATCCCTATCAAAATATGTTGCAATTTACCAAATGCCGCCCAACCCTATACGGCGTTGAACATAAGTTTGATTATCTTTACCTATTCTAATCGTATGTCCCAGATAAGTATGACTATAAACCTGATGTATGTCATACTCGTCTATTTTCATATTTTCACTTGGAACTAGGTTGGTTATGTATTTTTATTTTTGAAAATTAATGTTAAGACCTACTTTTTCTATTGCCTGTTTTTAGTTGTTTTATCATTTAAACTTTCGGCTTTAACGACAATATCATCGGCAAAGCGCAAATGACTCAGATATTAGCCATCGATATTTATCCCAATCCAGTTCATTGAAAGCATATTCCAGGACTGTCGTAAACAATTGGGAGAAATGGTATCCCCCTGCCTGATGCCTCTTTCAATTTTGTATTTCTCCGTGAAATCGTGGAGTTTAACCGATGCTGTTGCGTTGTTGTATATAACAACTTCGTATATCTATAGTTTAATATTAAAGTTTTAATATTCCAGGCAGTTCCACTGTATCAAAAGCGTTTCTCAAATCCACATATATCAAAGTCAGTGATTTATTGTACTCGATACATTTTTCAATTAAACTTTTCCCAGCTCGTAGGTGATGATTTGTTACGTAACCTTTTCTAAAACCGGGCTGCTCTCTTGATAAAAATATAATTTTTGTTCTAACCTTTTGTTGATGATTTTGGTAAACCATTTGTAAATATAAGGCAGTAGGCTTATTGGTCTATAATTTTCAATATCTGATTTATCTCCTTCTTTGTGTAGTATGATAATGATTGCATTGTTCCAGATTTTGGACATTTCGACTTTATTTATATTTCTCATGTAAACAAACAAGCTAGGGGAAAATAACTAGCATTTTATCTGCCAAATTTCTCGCAATTTGGCAGTAGACAAGTTGCAATATTCACATGAAAAAATACATATAGAAATGGCACCGTATTCCACCGGCCTTTAGCGAAGATTTATAATTACCAACAAGTTCAGTTAGATTAACGGGTAAAATGAAATTACTATTTAAAGTTGACAGAAATTTAAAAAAATGTTTTATGTAGCTACCACATTTTATAAAAAACAAATTACCCGAATAAATTAATAAAGTATGAATTAATCATAGATTTGGAGTAATCAAGAAAATTTAAGTTGCTTTACTTTTCATGTCTACTCAATATTTATAAACTGATATATTACATAAGGTGTAATTTCTACCAAATGCGATAGAACAAGTTAATGTCAGTATAATTTTGCCTAAGATATTCAATAAGAGAAAATTTTGGCTAATTTTACTAACCAAAAAAAAAATTAATTTATAAAACACGCCGGCCAAATTTCCAACATACTTACGGGACCATGGCGAAATACTATATCGATATCTATGTCATTTATGTAATCTTTGTCGTTCGTTAGTATCCAGCACATCGATAGTTCAATATTTTTTATGTCCATGCTAAAATTATTATCATCTGTAGATACGTCTGCTCAGAAGCAAATTTCAACCCCGAACTTACGTGATGTCTCCACTTCCATAGATTGGAATTGCGTTATTGATTCCGATATCCGCTACATATTCCATATCCACATTGAAGTAATCTACTGGTAGGCTATAGATGCATGCGTTAAAATTACCGTCGACATCTTTCGTGACTTGAACTATACTTGACATGTCGTAGTCCAGTATTTCAGTGTTACCGATTGGGTTGTTAATATCCAAAGTTCCCCTACAACGAACATTAACTAGTAACTCCATATGTTTTACAAAGCAAGTCAATGGAGATGTTTCTTTGACAAAATGAACTGTCAGTACATAGTGGTATTTATATAAGGACTACCTGTCTTATGATAGTATTGTTAGACCGCGGCGAACGATATACCATCTTTACAACCTTTTATGGTTTTGACTTCGGAATGAGTTAAATACCCGCTTGCTGTAAAGCGGAAGGGATTCTTTTCAGTACGTGTATGGTGTGTTAATAGATATAAGAAAGTGATCAATTGCTTTTGAATAGGATTATCTAAGGCTGGTCATTAACATACAATGCAACAAGATTATTACCTAAAGTTTCGGAATTTAAATTCAGGTAAAATTGTGGTCCTTAATAGAAAATAATTTTAAACCTATCTGTGTTTAATATTCTTTGGTATGGTATACTACTTAGTTTAAGTTTATAATAATCATTCTTACGTCGTGTGTAATATAGCGTGTGTTGAATCGTGTGCGAATTATGCAAAATATGTGCGAGTCTAGTGTATCTCAAGAGATGCTCCCGCCCAAATGTAGAAAACACTATTCTATTGAGACTAAGGAAGTTATAAACAATGTTTATTTGACTCACATTGAACGTGCAAGCATCTTTAGAAGAAACTGCCACATTAACGAAAATTCCAACGTCAACTATATGGAAAATTGTGAATAATCCCATTTCAGCGAGGAAAAAAAGAGGCGATGCTGACATTTCCTCGAGCGTAGATGAAAGTGATCAAGGTATAATACGGCGTAAAATTTACCAGCTATACGAGGAACAAAGCGTGCCTACATTAGATCTCTTAATTAGGAGGCTTGAAAAAGATGAAACCGGTGTTAAATGTGGCAGAAATAACATGAAAGTGAATTCAACACATGGGTTTTAGATTTAAAAAAATGGACAAAAGGCAAGTTTTAATGGAATCTTTTAGAATTCGGAAATGGCGACTGGAATACCTAGAAAAAAATAGGATTTACAGAGAACAACAAAGACCGATTATTTACTTGGATGAAACCTGGTTCGACACTAATGATACCCCGGAAAAGAGTTTGGTTTACTCAGCTGCTAAGTGTAAAACAAACGCGCCATCGAAAAGACGTAAAAGAATAACTATTTTGCATGCTGGCTCTAAAGATGGTTGGATTCCAAATGGACTTTCTCTGTCTGCGAAAATATTAAAGATTCTTCTCTGGATTACCATGAAGACACCGCCGCTGATTTATTTGAAAGTTGGTTTAAAAACAAGCTAGTTCCAAACATTCCTCCTAATAGCGTCATTGTAATGGACGATGCAAGTTATCATAGTAGACAGTTGACTAAAACCCCTTCCTCATGTGACACAAAAGCAACAATCCAAAACTACATGTATAATAACTACATTTATTTTCACGAATATTATATCAAAAAGCAATTAATTGAGGTTCTACAAAGCTCGAACCTACAAAAGTATACCTCTGTAATAATTATGCAAAAAATCTAGGGCATACAGTTTTAAGGCTTCCTTCCACCTTACCACTGTATATTTAATCCCATTGAACATGTTTGGCACCAACTGAAATCTCCCATTCGTCGTAGCAATGTTTTTCCCCGCATTAACTCCAATGTCCTCAAACTTATAGAAACCGAAGTTTTCAACATCCCTCCACAAAGTTGGGAAATTCTGTTAAACATATAGAAAAAGCAGAACAATCGTATATCCATATTGCAAATAATATAGAACAAATAATAATTAGAACAGGCAATGGTAGCGATGGTGATACTGATATATTATGTGGGTAATTTTAAGTAATTTAAGTCAAGGTAATAAAAATAATTTGTAATTTTATTTTAGATTTAAACATAAATACATATATAAATAAATAAATATTGTTTAGTATCTTTCCTAACAAAACCCCAAATAATTAAATTCTAAGCAAAATACGGACCTGTTCGGCCATATTTCATTCTTACAGCTTGCCCGGGTCTTTCCTTAATTCGTATCAGTTAGACACTTTCTTATATCTATGAACAAACTTTACTACAAGCGAGAGCCTTATTTAAAATGTGAGCCGACAAGAACTGTGCCGTGAGAACTGTTGTTGTTTTTAAGAGTAGGGATTTTTTTTGAATAAACTGTAATATTAGTGCATATTAGCGTGCTTTGCATAAATCCTTCTGAAACAGTCCCTACTTGAGGTTGCTTGATTTCAACTTCAAATTGCCCATTGGATAGGTTTATTTCCTATATTAAAATCTCATTAGGAAACTTACACTGATTGCCAATTTAAGCAATACAAAATATTATGTAGATAAGTGATTTATAATGAAAATATTCCCATTTTCCTATTGGTTAATTTGTGGGGGTTGGTGAAATCGGAGTATGTCGTCAGTTTTATGAAGCAGTATTTTCTTAGCCGTCCAAGCTTTGGAGCTATTTTTATTCAGTCTTGTGTTTGTAATTAATTAGTAATTACCAACTTACTGTTATTTAATTTTTCAAACAAACTTCCACAGGCTACTGTAATGCTTTTTACAAAACTTCTGGATTCCTCCTGCGTCGGTTTTTGCTTAGTCGAAATTGCTGACGTTTCGCCAATCATCCTGTTGGCTTCTTCAGAGCTTGACTGAAACTGGCTCGTATTTTACTCTGTAACTGCTTATATATTACTTTTGGGGGGGGGGGGGGGGGGCTAAAGAGGGGTGTAAACACCGTCTCGGATGATAAGTGGTAAATCTGGTTTTGACGTTATACTTCTTTAGAACTTTTGATATATGGTCAGTGATGTTTTGAATGTAAGGAAGGACCACAGTGGCAAGTGTAGGATTGCTTTCGGCCTCATTGCTATTGGAAGGTTGTGCTGAAGTGTATTTTTTGATGGAACGTTTAATATCTTTAATGTGGAAATTATTAGAGAGAAGAGCAGAGGTAAGGCGTTTTAATTCCGTTTTCAGTGACTCGGACTGAGATCGTTTTACCGCTCTGTAAACAAGAGACTTGATAACCGATGATTTTTGGGCCGGATGGTGATGTGACCATGCATTAAGGTATCGGTCTGTGTGCGTAGGTTTTCTGTAAACACAATGACCCAATATTAGGTCCGATTTTCTATTGATAAGTATATCTAAGAATGGCAGGTTATTATTAGCTTCCAACTCAATGGTAAAATGTATGTTAGGGTTTCAGTACAGGGTACAGTACAGGGTTTCAGCACAGTTTCAGTCAAGCTCTGAAGAAGCCAATAGGATGATTGGCGAAACGTCAGCAATTTCGACTAAGCAAAAACCAACGCAGGAGGAATCCAGAAGTTTTGTAAAAAAAATATTATTTAATTGTTTGTCAAGACAATTTATTTCTTACCAAATATTCAATTTTGTTAGTCACTTGCGATGTCCTGCGACCAAGAAGTTGAGATTGTGGTCGATGATGTAATAATTGTTGATTATGAACATCCGTCAAATTCAAATGGATCAAAGACTCCGACACATTTGCCGGTGGCTGTTAAAATTTCAATTTTAAATGTGTTTTTTAATCTGAAATCGATATCTGGGGAAAGTGGCCCATAAAATTAATGTCCGAGATTACTAAACCACCGTATGCCACAGTACGTGACAGAGGGTTGCGTAGTGTTTTGAACATTGACTGTTGCCAACAATTGGTTTTTATTACAAAACCATTAATAAAAGACAAGTTTTGATGGAAACAAGAAGAATTTCGGAGCGGAGGACAAGATATTTAAGAGAAATCCAAGAAATTCGTGCTAAAAACGTCTCAATCATATATTTAGATGAGACCGGGTTTTATAGCCATGATTCCGCCAAGAAAGGATGTTTGGATTTAGTTCTGGGGCAAGAGAATCAATTGGAAGTGAAGTAGAAAAAATATCTGCTTCTATTAAGAAAAAATGCAAATTGCACATGACGACAGTGATTATTTTGGTGTAGATTTTTTTGGTAAATATTCTAACATTGTTTCGTAGGTAAAGTTTCTCCTTCATTTACATTTGTATGCAGGAAGTACCGAAGTGCGGTTCTGGAACGTCATTGTGGAATTGCGAATCTATTTGTTGAGAGAAACCCAAGCGAGGTAGGCCTGCGGTTAGACCTTCATAAAAGTTTACCAAAGTCAAATACCGAATTATGTCGTAAAAATGGTATATCTTTCGCAAATCTCTACCACAGAATTACTTAATCAGTTTCCCGTCTGTTGAATATCTTAAAAGTTACTTACAACGTGGTATTCGTGTTGAATTCGAATACCCTTTCTATCCACGGTTGGTACACTCCCGATGCCTTCAGTGAATTTAAGAAAAATAGAATGTTGACCTGCAGGGCTAGGGCTGAAAATTAAATGTGGTATATAAAGATCAAATGGGACAACACAATATTCACAATTACCATCACTATCCATAACTATATCACTTAAACAATAACAATGAGCCTATGAATTGACGAAATTGGATACTTTCCTATTGATATATGACAATACTATAAATCCTTTTAAGCGCCTTATCGTTAATCCATCGGTTTCTGGCTAAGACGTTATCTTTTTTTTCAATACAACGCAATATAATATCGCCATGAATGGATAGTTCAATTGTTTATCCGTTAGATATCGGATCGATATGACCTCATCAGAATTTCCAATCTATGTCTGGTCTAAGAAGTTTAAAAAATAATCTCTGGCAATAACATTGTTGTTTTTAATAAAAATTCTAAAATAATTCGTTTTTGGGTAGCTCGCATGTTACTGCATTTTTTATATCTTCATAATTTTTTATTTTATCGAAAAATGTTAAATGCAAAAGTTGTCTATATGGAGAGAGTATATAGGGTTTCTTACAGCACAAAAGTTCGTTATTTTAGATGAAACACCTTGCATATTATTTCATTTTTGGTTATCTAAGAAAATGTTATTACAGGTTCCTTCAGTTTTATTTAAATTAAATTAAATTTACACCGTTTTCAAATTACGACATTCAGTATATTATTGTATTTTCTATCAACAGTCAATCAAAACCCAAAGACTCTTGAACGGACCATCCAGATTACTCGATTTGTATATGTATTGCATAGTAGTGTATTAAGAAACTAGACCCACACAAATCGATTTGTGGCTACAATTATTGACTTAAAATAAAAGTTACAATTTTTTAATATTTGCAATTCTGCTTGTGGCAATCTGTTCTATTTTGCAATATAATAATAATAATAATAATAATAATAATAATAATAATAATAATAATAATAAACAGTCTTTATTATAAAAAACCTAAAGTAAACAGATTGCTCAAAAGCGGCGTTGTCTAGCTTTAAATACCTACTCTACTGAACCGCTAAAGAACTATTTATATAATTAATAAATTGGGCACTATTTATTGAAATAAAAAAATGGGTGAACAACAAATAAAATATGAAAAATACCTGTAAAATCGGAAGAACAACAAAACTCTACTACACACTATAGAAAATGCAATTAAAGATAAAGAATTTGAAAATAATTAGCAACACATTATTAGGAAAACTGTCTTTGTAAAAAATGATCTCAGTACCTTTTCTTAAATGAATATAAATTTAAGTTACTGAATTCCTGTGACAAAAAATTATAAACACGAATTGCGTTGAATGTGAAAGATCTACGAAACAAGGCACTCTGATGATGTGGCATCGTTAGTCTGTACCTGTATCTTACATTCACAGAATGGATAGTACTCTTAGGAGTAAGCGGCTATCTCAGCAAAGTGGGTGAATCGAGGTTATGAATAATTTTCATAACGAATACGTTGAAATGAAAAGCTCTTCTTTCATCCATTTTAAGCCAATTACGTTGACGCAGTTACATGGTCATATTTTCGAAGACCCATGATAAAACGAACACAAGCATTCTGCAACCTTTGAATACGGCACTTACACTCGTAATCAATAAAAAACCATACACTACATCACAGTAGTTATAATGTGAGAGAACAAGTAACTCACATAATTATTTCCTTAGTCTAAGATTTAAAATGTGCCTTTTACTCTATAAGATTTTTAGTCAGAAATATGCCTTTTGAAAGACATTTTTTAAATATTCACGAAATCTTAGACCACAATCTATGATCACCCCCAAATTTTTTGCTGAATCGACAACGGAAAGTTTAATATTATCTAACATTATATTAATATTTTGTTTAAGTAGTTTAACTTTATTTTTATTTCCAAATATCATTAAATGCGGTTTAGCTTTAAATTATGGGCACGAGAAAGTTCACTAATCCTTTTAAGATCTTGATTTATAAATACCTCTGCATTCATACTACTATTAAAATCAAAACAGCAATACAATTGAGTATCGTCGCCATATGCCTGAAGTTTGCAAAGATTTTAAAATATCAGAAGTGTAAATCAAAAAAAATAACGGCCACAAAATGGAACCTTGCGGCACCCCACAGAAAATTTTAATTTCTTTCGAATATCTGCTATTACAGTATATATGTTCTGATATCGATTTGAAAAATACTAATAATCTGTGTTGTGAATAAGAGGAAAAACCATATAAATTCAGCTTGGAAATCAACATGTCATGCTTCACCGTATCGAATGCCTTAGAAAAATCCAATAGTATTAAGGCACTCATTAGTTTTTTGTCAGTGGCTCGGACAGTATCAGCAATGACACTAATAAGAGCATTCGCAGTACTTGACTTTCGTTTAAAACCGCACTGACTTTCTGGTACTATTCTATTATCCATTATATAGGCATACATTTGATTATAAATAACTTTTTCATATATATTTTGATATTTATTTTTTATTATTTTTAGCTATTGATTTTCCAAGTGACATTTTCCAGCTTTTTAGAAAATAGTTTACTTCTATAGAAGAATTAATAATGTGAGTGACATACTTATCAATGAAAGGACTGCAGCATAAGTGGAAAGATTTCGTCAACCCCAGTGGCATTTGTTTTAATTCCATGAATATATGCACATCAACAAGATTTGTTAATTCAAAAGAAAAGTGTAGAGCTATATTAAAACAATTGTCTTGATAATAGTGTATATCATTACGTATTAATTTCTTCAGGGTCATTCAAGTTATTTGGAAGAGTAGTGTCTTTTTGAGTTAATATTAAAATTCTTTAGAGCCTCCCAAGTCCGTTTGGAGTTATTTACATTGCACAGTGAATCTAGATATATCCCCTTTTCTATTCTTATTGTAGACAATGTAAAATTCCTTAGATTTTTCAATAAGAACCAATCATTCCTAGTCTATCAGCCCAAATAAATAAAATACAGGGAAAATAAAAAAAATGTTCGATTTAGAATTTTTGTTACACGATTTGCTACCATTGTTTTACCACGTTGAATATTTACTCCAAGTTTCCGAACTCAATTTCCGAACACTCTGTATAGGCAATTTTTATTTAATTTTTAATATGCGATATAAATGATATTTTTTTAGTTGCTTATTGTATGTTCAGTATATTAAAACCTGTCCTTTTGTAGTGTTCAGTTATAGATTTTGATTTTTTAAATCACGTATTTTGAAATCGTTGCCTTTTATTTTTCTGAGTTTCTCTTATTTTAAAATAATTTAATGATCTAGTTGGTTGGTAAATTTTATACATCCTGCAAGCGACAATTCAATTTTCTATATCAATTTCGACAGGGCGATTCTTGTGATTTCGTTTATCATGCAGTCAATTACAACCAGTCATTTTTTTAAATGGCGCATTGCTCAGAACCATGTCTTCCAATTTTTTAATAATAGAAGATATCGAAGAAAGGAGTATAAGGAAAAACATAGCACGAAATTTTCTCATAAATCGAAAAATGGAATGAATAATATAGAGGATATTCCATCTAAAATAAAAAAGTGAGATGCTGAATGACACTTATGAGATACCATAATAGCGACTATTTTAATTACATGCGCCACATTCAACTTTTGTATTTAAAATTTTGAGATAATATAATTTTTTATGTAGAAATAAAGGAATCATACAATTGTGAGATATCCTGCATGGTCTATGTAAAAATCTCAACTACGAAAATTTTCCTCATATATGAAATCCATTAAATAGCTCCACTACAAAATTTTACTCACTTTGTTTCTTTAAACAAATTTTACCGGATATGAGGACCATGAAGTATAGTATTTGGGTATCCGGTTACCGATTTTTTTTACATTAATGGTAGTTAGATTGAATACTCGTAAAGCTGAGACAAATTCAAATTCAAATGCTCTGTGAACCTTCTCTAAAAGGAAAGAGTGGAAGGGGTTTTCGAACATTTTCTTTTCGGGAATAAATGTCCATAATAATACTTGTACTCGTTAAAACGGACGGAACCAGACGATGCTTTTGCTTTCCTTGCCGCCACATTGCCTTTCCTGGAAAAAAATATAAATGTAACGGCATGACCTCAGTTAGTTATTAGTTAGTCATACAAGAGCGTAATTAGTAGCACCAAACGCAAGCCCACGGTGAATTGGTACTCGAAATCACTTCGATTCCTCGTGTTCGTGTTCATATCGACATTGCGAAACCCTGTGGTGCTGCCGCGGAGTTAAGTCAATTTTTGTGAAGATATGTCTGCCGAGCAGTTTCACTCTAGCGATTTATTCCATTCCGACTTTGACGAAACATCGATCCCAAAAAAAGTTGCGCCCAAATGGCCCTTCTGATTTCGAACGTAATTATCTTGAGTTTTCTCATTCCGAACATACTATGTTAAATAATAATTGTCTCCAATACTATTGCCGACAAATTATTCTTTTGATATCGAATGTGATTCTCTTGATTCCGTCCACTCCGAATATACTATTTTAAATAATGACGAATTCAATAAACCACCGTCTCCGAAAACTTTGCCCCGAAATGACCCTTCTGATGTACCACATTTAATAATGACGACTTAAAAAACCTTGACGCCAAATGACTCATCTGATGTAATATGTGATGAAAATAATAGATCACAATCAGACTATATTTCTGCTGATAGCTGCCGTTCATCAGAATATGAAGAAAATTTTGAAATTGGTTGCCTTGAAAAGACCTACTCGAAAAGTAATAAATTAGAATCGAAAACGGACAATCACTTGGAACCAATGAATGAAGTATTATATTTGGGGTTTGAAATTAATAATATATATGTAAACCCTGCTGCCAAAATTTCAGAAATAACCTCAATGAATGCTATAATCTTGAATGATACATTGTCTTTGTTAAGTAGTAGGTCTTTATAATAATTAGCAGTAAACTATTGATTTATCTATAATGTAGTCCCTTTCTACCCGTAGGGATTGGTCTGTTTTGTAAACTTTCATTTTAGTTTCCTTAGAAATTTCCCTTTTATTTATGAGTCCCTTACTCAAAGCATAGTATACCTTTTTTGCCTTTTCTATTCTATTATTTAATTCTGTGTCCTGTATTCCTGTTTCTTCGAACACAATTCCCAAGTACTGGAAGCTACTAACTTGTTCTATTAGTGTCCCACGTATCACCTCTAATTTCTCTTTTTCGTTTGACACTGCCATAACTTTGCTTTTATTTATGTTCATTTTCATTCCGTTTTTCGTGTAGTATCTGATCCCAATTATTTAGATTTTGTTCTAGATTCTTCGAGGTTCCTGCTTGATCGTTATATCATCTGCGAAGACACATTCCCATATGTTGATACACTCTAGTTGTAGGTATCCAACGTAAAGGTTTTTTGATCGCTGTTCTGTCATTCTACTTAGATCGTCCACATGAGTTATGAACTATCAAACTACCCCCCTGTCTCACTCCTTCTTGTGTTATAAATGCCTTTGATCTCATGTTCTTACTTATTACGCAATTTCTTGTTTCGTTGTATAAACATTTGATAACACTTAATAGTTTATTGTTAACATTTCTGGCTTGTAGGCTTTTCCAGATTTATATTCGCGGTACTTTATCAAACGCTTTTTCCATATCTAAGAATGCCACGTATACTGCTTTAGATCTTGCCAATTTTTTCGAAATTATTTGTTTTAAAATAATTCTTCTTTCCTTCTGCCTTTCCGGAACCCGCTTTGCGTTTCTGTTAGGGTTGGTTCTACTTTTGATCCTAGTCTCTTTTCAACTACTTTCTCGAACAGTTTCCATGGTGTACATAGCAGTGATATTCCTCTATAATTGTTGCAGTTCTTGTTATCTCCTTTTTTGTGCAGTGGTAGTATTAAACCCATTTTCCAATTTTCCAGTATTTTTTCTTCTATCCATACCATATTGAAATTTTTTAACAATAATGTGGTCGCTTTTTCTCCCACATTTTTTACCATCTCAGCTGCAATCTTATCCTCACCTTTATTGCGGTAATTAATTCTGCTCTCTTTATAAGTTGTTCATTTGGTTCCGTCTCTTCTTGCTCTACCATTCGTTTACCTTCGTATTCTGTCTTTTTGCCCTTTATTCTATTTTCGGAATTGAGCAGTTTTGCAAAATATTCTCTCCAGTGCTCCATTATATCTGCTTCCGTTCTTAGTATTTCACCTGCTTCGTTTTTAATTGCCACACTCTATACTTTTTTATTGGCTCGAAGACCTTTCAGTACTCTGTAGAAAAGCTTTTGATTGATTTTGTTGTCTGACTCTAATTTATCTCCAAATTCCTTCCATTTTCCTTTTTTAGACTATATTACCATATTTTTCACTTTCGTTCTTTGTTCTTTGTAAAGTTCATAACTTCGCTGCGTTTTTTCCCCTAAATATGTTTTCCATTTTTCCTTTTTTATTTTTATCTGGGTTGTTGTTGCTTGTGTCCACCATACTGTCTGTTTTTTATTACTATTTTGTTTGTTTATCCCCTAAGCGTATGAATTAAGTATCGTACTTTTGCCATATTTCCTCTAAGTTCTTATTTACTAGAGTCTCTTAGAGATTTTCTAATTTATCGTTTATCATTTCCCTATATTTTTCTGCTATTATTTCGTGCTTCATTCTGTAAGACTTAATTACTATATTTGGCGTTTTTGCTTTACTTTCTTGATAACGGTTGGCATCTCTCTGAGTTCCCATTTTTGCCACAAGTAGGTAGTGGTCGCTGTTTATTTCAAACCCCCGATTTACTGCAACGTCATTTATTTTACCTCTGTTTTCTCTTCCTACTAGTATAATATTTTTTAACTGAAGATCTAAACCACCTTTTTTATAACTTAATAATAATATATTTTCCTTTAGTCCAGAGGTTTATACACTATTTATGCACTTTGAGAGTATATTTACAAAAACATTGTTACGACTTACCTTTAGGTACATCAAAAAAAGTAATATATTATAATCTTGTTCGGTGGCAATGACGACACATTGAATATTTCTTATTTACTTTTTATCCATCTCATTCCTTGTTCAACTTTATTTTTATTTTTACCTTAGGAGACAATGAAGAAAAATAACTAACTCTCATAAAGAACATTTTTATCGAAAAGTTTTCGATAAAGTATCTTTTTAGGTAATTTTCGACATCTTATCTGTAAACTTTTGCCTCGGGATAAAAAGTCACTCCTTAATTCCTTGGATACCATCTAATTTTTTTCCCAAATTCATTAAAAAAATCCCCCTTTTCAAATTCCTGCTATAAAATACCTATTATACAGTGTCGCTCGAGATGTCAGTTCTGTTACCTACGGCTGGGAGCCTTTTCGGATATTTCCGGTGTATTACTCACGGGTTTGGGAGTTATCGGATGTTTGCAGATATATTAGCCAAGGCTTTCGTTTGTTAATTCTGACGGTCAAGGTACGCATATAGTATGGAACACATTGTAAACTTCGTCAGTCACTCATTTATTAAGCACTCGCTCCGTTCGTGCCAAATAAACTAATATGGCGTTTATCAAACTTGTTGAGCAATATACAGTTAAATTTTTTTGAAGAATTTTTTTCAAGAAAACTTTCACAGGCTGATGAAAGATTATTCAAAAATATTCTGCATTCTACCTGCGTCGGTGGTTGATAAATCGAACTTGCTGACGTTTCGTTAATCATCCTGGAGAACTCACAACTGGCCCTGTTCACAAATTTGACCGTTACAAGAAAAATATGTTCCAGAAAAGCATTTTTCATTTCGGTTGAAAAGGTTTGATTCCAGATTCCCGAATTGCAATATATGTGAAAGAACCATGTCCAAGCGAACCAAAGAAATAGAACAAAAAATATACGACTACGACAAATAAATTCGTAAGCTGTTGCCGAAAATAATAATGAAACCGGACATTAAATCTCACTAAACCAAGCAATTTTAACCGCGACTCTGTCTTTCACCAATGTCTAAATCTGCGACAATGTTCATGTTCCTCTTTTAGCTCCGCATCTCTAAAACAGTGGATAAGTGAGTTTAGAATAGAATGTGAATTAGTTTCACTTAAGCTCTGAAGAAGCCATCAGGATGATTGGCGAAACATCAGCTAGTTTTATTTATAAAAAACCGATGCAGAAGGGATTTAGAAGATTTATAAATAGCCTTCTGAAGAAAATATTAATTTTGACAAATAACGAATGCTGCTCTCATCGCAGTTGTCTGTGTTCTTTATAATTTTATAAAAATTTAAAAAATCCTTATTTTTATTAAAACTAAAATAGTAACTTCTAATTATTAGTCCTAAATATTGCTCATATCTAACATTTGACCAACATTAAACATATACAACACGGTAATATCAAGTCTCAGTTGGCCCGTAAAATAAAATAATTGAAATGATATTAATTTCTAAATTAACAGTTTTTCTTAATTTGGTACAATAATTTTTTGATCTGCAAATAAGTCAACCGTCAAGAACTTAGAAAACAATTTTAAAAAATTATATTTAAATGTTAGTATTTATTTTGAATTATTAAGTTATAAAAAAGGTGGTTTAGATATTCATTTAAAAAATATTGATTGTTGAGGCACCCCTGAAATTAACACTTTTTATGCAGGCTTACGTCCAACCAGCGCCTGACTAACGTAAAAACCAGTATAATATTTCTGGCAAAGATATTACCTTTAAATCAATCAAAGAATTTCTTTCCGAAATTGGGCTTCGTAATAAAAAAAAACATCTGCACAAGGATATTAAGTTTAGAAAAGAGCTTTAAAAACTAACAAATCTACCAAAAACAAATACATTAAAATAAAAATATAGCACAGTTCGCAACAAAGTATTTTTCAAAATACAAGGAAAATATAAATCGCCTTATACCCGCTCGACTGTGCACAGTCGTATTAAAAAAGAGAAGCGTGTTCTGAAGACCATACCTATTTATATGTACTTTAATACACAAACAATGGGGCAACGCTGCTCCGCCGCTCAGACTTCTGCATAATAAATGAAAAATATTCATAAGGACGCTAGGATGCTGGAATGTAAAAGTTTTCCCGTGTATATTGGAAACTAGCAAGTTACCTTCTTCAATAAATAAACTGAACTAAACTAACAATTCAGTGAAAACTGCATTCGAGTGTCCATCTTCATCCCATCCCAAAATATCAATGCCAAATTATATTTAAAATCTAAATAAATTGTCATTATTTTTCTATGTCACGAGAGTCTTTTCAAGAATTAAAACAAATGGATTATGGTTTTTTAAATTTATTAATACATTCATACTCAAATAATTGACATACATTCTTCAATTCTCTCCAGAAACAAATTTAGATGTTCTCGTTTTAAATACTTTAAGGCTTCAGCGTAGTTGCCGGATTCCGCTTCTTCTAAAAGACTATCGAAACCAAAGCAGGAAGTCTGTAAGGAGATTCGTAGTATTAATCCCACTAAGCGTTTCCATGAGATACGATATACCTTGCATTGATCGAAACTGAGAATGTCATCTCCGGTAAGCAACTCGTTGAAAATGTGTTTGACTACCTGACCTATACCACATGAAATACATTCGACGTTGTAGTCCCAGAACATGGCAGCCAAAGCTTCCATATCGGTAAGAGCATTTGACACTATCCCGTCTAGCTTTTCGTTGTTCCAGAACTTCGTAATGGTCACCTAAAAAATACGTTTTAGTGTAATTATTTTTATTACAGTATATGATGCATGAAGATAGGGAAACGCCGCTTTAATCACTAGGTTGATTTCACACCAGAGGAGCGAGTATTTAATAAATTAGTGGATGTTACCTACGAGGTGCGTTCAAAAAGTAAGGTGACTTTTGCAATTGGGCGGCCTACGTGCATTCGATCTTCGGTATTTTTTTTTGTTATGTTGGTATACATGGTATACAGCACGTCAATAACTGATGAAAGTGTCTAAGAAGTGAAAAAAATGGTGTTGAAAAATCGTCGAATCACTATTACAGAAGTGGCTGAAGACGTCGTCATCTCTATTGGATCGTGCCATGAAATTTTTTACCGAAGTTTTGAGCACGAAACGTGTAGCAGCAAAATTTGTTCCGAAACTGCTTCATTTTGAACAAAAGGACCGTCGAAGAAACATCGCTCGACGTCAATGATGATACTGATATGTTCAAAAAGGTCATAACTGGTAGCCCAGTAGTCCCAATGCAAGAATCGCCAAGACCAAAAAAAGCACTTCAAGTTCGATCAAACGTCATTTGCTTACTGACGTGGCGTGGCACATCAAGATTTCTTACCAAAAGGTCGTAATGTCAATAAAGAGTCAGTTTCAATCAAGCTCTGAAGAAGCCAACAGGATGATTGGCGAAACCTTAGCTAGTTCGACTCAACACAAACTGACGCACAAGGAATAAAGAAAAAAAAGCAATACGAAGAAAACGTCCGGAATTGTGGGAAAAGAATTCATGGATTTTGAATCACCTGCTCCCTTATCGTTTCTTGTTTCTAACTTTTTGGCCAAAACCGCAATCATGCCTCAGCCACCATATGAAACTATATAACAAGGCCATGAATCTAGTCTTTCCTAAACAATTCTCTAATAAAACAAACAAAAATTTTAACACATTAACTTATCTTGGGCAACCAAGTGAAATTATAGCTAAAAAACTTAGAAGGCTAAATCGGAATATTGGTTTTAAATGTAATAGGACATTAGGATCTGTAATTAAAAATAATAAAACGAAAATACCTAAGTTATGTAAGTCGGAAGTATACAAATTAACATGTGGATCTTGTCCAAAAATATACATAGGTCAGACAGGTAGAGGTTTCAAGAAACGGATTCAAGAACACAAAAGTTCATTCTTGAATTCTAAAAATGACTCTAATTATAGTAATCATTTAATAGAAACAGGATATTCCTTCAATAACGATGTTAAAATATTACATAGTCAAGGCAAAAGCAAAAAACTTAACTTATTAGAAACAATAGAAATTAATAAACTGAAATTTACAAGTTTGCTACTAAACGATCAAACCGACTTAAATAATTCTCCCCTCTTAAACCCTTACATAAAGATTCTACCTACTGTATGGATAGTCTGTAAGCAGCCCTGTGATAGTTAGTTTAGAGATTCTTTCTCAAGTAGGTACAGTGTACCGAAACAATTGTCAAAGCAATAAACATGTGTGTGGTAATCTTAAAGCAAGTGTTTGTTTTTATTAAATTACGTATGTAATGGATTATCATCAAGTAACAGTCAACTCAATCAAATCACTGTTATATTTTCCCAATAGTGCCCCTCTCCTTTTTTCTTTCTTCACTTTCCAAGGTTCTCTTGGCAAACCCACTATATATTTATTCTATATAAATTCAGTTCATTGATTGCATATATGGTCAGGATATCTGCGATGTTTTGGTTCGTGGGGTTGCATAGAAGCAACAATTTTGGATGTTGCGTTGTGTGGAATAAAAGCTGAATAACCTCTTAGTCTGTTTTTAATATGCACAACTCTTTCTGATCCGCTTTTAGGAATGGAAATGCATCGACCGACATTTTTGGTGCCATTTCGTCTTTTACCTTAGAATGTCTGAACGTCAATAGTGCTGAAAGGGTCTCGAACTTCCACTTTTCGATGTTGAACGCCGTGTTTATGTTGAGAGTGATGTTTCTGATTTCAAACCTATAACGAAAAACACAAATAGACGTTTTTTTGTAGAATTGGGCAATGCTCACTTCATTTTTCCTTCACCATAAAGAGGAACCTCATTAAATAGTCCAATGTCTAAATAGTAATCCTGAATTTCAATTCCTAATTTGTCGACGGATAAATCATCCAATCGAAATGTAATGTATCCATTCTCGGACAGCAAGTTAACGTTCTTTATATCGAGGTTTAGGGTATCGAAACCGTAGATATTTGTACCTCCCGCAATAAATTCACCTGCACTGAAGTATTGAAAAACTTCTATATCACAAAGGACATCAATACTGATAGCTATACTTACAAGTCTGCGTTGTTCAAAATATCCAGGTCCAAAGGAATATCCCCTAAGCTGATCGTTTCCGCATTCTTAAGACTCAGCGTTAGGTACTTAATAGCGATCTTGAGCAAATCTGAAATATGCAACTAGGACATTACCACCCTTAAGTCGTTGTGGATAATTAAATCTATTAGTTATAAGGCGATTTAAAACGTACATATGTTGACGAACGCAAAATTTGAGTATCTATAATTTTTCTTTGTTAAAAACAACACATGAAGGTGTGATCGGGATATGATTGTATTGTGTTTCTAAAGTGAGTGACACTAACCATTAAGTATAGTTACATCGGCTGCAACCGTTGATCCAGTGCCCAAGAGGATGATGAAAATATGTAGCACGTTCACTTTAAAAACCATTTTTCAGTTACATAGACCAACTAAAATCAGGTGTTGTTTTCACCTGGATGTCAAACGAGATTGATAAGAAACCACTTGAGCTTGCCTAATCGGGTATCGGTTGATTTCGTATACCTAAATTATGGATTATATTTAATCAATGCCCAAAAAATTGATAAATTAATTATTTTCATACGAAATGGTAGCTGCTATTTTGCAGTTGATTTGTTGAAAGTAAAATTCCAAAGTAGTAGGGAGGCTCTTTATTTTTTAAGTGAAAACTTTAAATTCACAATTATTTTATAGAGGCACAGTGTTCAAATAAATCCATACCGGACACTCTATTTGAGAAGTGATGCTGGCGGTTGAGGACTATCCCTACAACTATTGTGTTCACAAGTAGTTCTCGCTGTATGTTATATTAAACCTTGTAGATGTGGCGACAATGTGTCAATAAAACATACCTATTAACTTTTATATTGTTTAATAATTAAAATAATAATTATTTTAATTCATAATCCGTTTTTGGCAAATTATCGATAAATGTGATATGCATATCGCGGCATTAAGTTTTATCTATTATCCATGCACGACCATTAAAAATCGACTTATACATGATACGATCACATATTTTATAACTTCGTATCGAAATTCTCTTCGGGAATGTAATCCTCTTTTAATTCCCAAGAATTTCGAGCAATGTCTTTCAGGTGGTGGGTCATCGTTTTGCCCGTTTCCAGAACCATCTTGTGGAAGTGTCCATTAGGCACTTGCAGGAGTGTGTGCGGGTGATCGAATTCTAAGAGTTGTCCAAAACCCATCACCAACACTTTATCCGAATCCATTATGGTGTTTAGCCTATGGGCGATCGTTAGGACAGTGCAGTCTTTGAACTTTTTTCGTATTGTGCTCTGAATGAGACCATCGGTTCTAAAAGACACAAACTTTTTAATTATAATATTATAATCAATGTACGTGATCATTATTTATAGGCTTCCCCAGAATTGATATTGGCACAATACCAGAGCTTCATGTAAAAGTAAATGAAATTAAAGCTGTAAGTTAATATTGTTAATAACCTTTAACACTTACTTGGCATCGACATTTGCTGTAGCTTCGTCCAACACCAAAATTTTGTTGTTTCGTAACAATGCTCGCGCCAAACACAAAAGTTGTCTTTGACCCAAACTGAAATTGCTGCCACCTTCTGATACTTGGAAGTTGAGAGAATCCACTAGATCTTTCAGTTCTACCTGAGTGTAGATACATACATTGCTATTGCAAGTCTGCAAGTGTTCTTTTCATACCTCTTCTAAAACTTCCCACAGTTTGCTATCCTGAAACTCGTCGAACGGATCCAAATTGTACCTCAAAGTGGCCGAAAACAACACTGGTTCCTGTGGAATGATCGAAATCTTTTTCCTCAAATCGTTCAACCCTACAGTTTGAGTATCAATGTCGTCGATTAAAATTTGACCTTCGAGTGGAGCAAGCCTAAACAGGGCACTAATTAAGGAGGATTTACCGGCGCCGGTACGACCAACGATACCAACCTAAAAAAATCGTTCCAAATTTTTTAATTCTCGTGCTACATTATACAGACTGGTCACTTTTACATTCCATTGAGATATTCGATACAGTAAGTAAATAACAGAATAAATTTGTTCACTGAAATTCCATTTTGGGAAGAATCCCCAAAATTGACCAGATATCGTGATATCTGAAATTCTTAACAGTTTTCCAAAAAATACCCATTATATTAATTTTCGGTTGTTAATAATGTCCCATTTTTAGATATTCTCATTAATTAAAAATCATCGGTTCTCAACGGTTTTCAGGACCCAAAAATTTTGATCTTCTTTCAAATAATTTTCACATTATAAAATCCCATAACCCCCCAAACAAAAAGAATCCGAAAGCACCCCCCCCCCCTGCCACTTTGGTATTTCTTTACATTCAAAATATTACTGACTACATAATGCATCAGTTTTTCTACCAAAGAAATATCCGAGAATCTATAGAAATCCCTAAACCACCAACCAATGTTTACGGCTACCCAGGTCTTTACCTTTGACCAATATTAGGCTCATTGATCGGAGACAATATGTTAGTTTTTAGCTCCGCCTTCCTCAAAAAATATATAAACAGATACAGAGTAGAATGCAAGACAATTTCTGAAGGAGCGAATAGGATGATTGGCAAAGTGTCAGCAAGTCGGAAGAATCCAGAAAATGTGCAAAATTTTCAGCTTCGTTCTAATAATTTTGGGAGGTCGCAAGCGACATTTTGTATTATGTATCAGCAAATGTGGTTACCAAAATTGAAAGAAAATAAACAAAATCAATTGTAATAAGCATGCAGTATAAGTTTTAGGGCGGATTGGGATGCCTCAGCTGTGTTCCAAAAAACCTTTTCTTTTTTTGGTAAAGCTTTCATTATTTACGGACCGTCAAATATTTATTTTTGATTATGGAAACAAAAAAAGCCACAGATTTTATTAGAAATACTTTTTGAGATCCGAGGTAGGCAAAGGTTGGATTTTTGCTTCTAAAAAGGTCATTTAAAAATTTTCCAGTCTCTTCTCTAGCACATTGCCTATAGACCTCATCGTTTCGTCACATTCTCCGAAGCTCCCCCTAAATTGTCAGAAATTATCCCAAATTATCCAAATTGTGCTAAAATATTTTGGAGTTCACCTGATATTCCCTATTCTTGTACACCAAAATTCCCCTATGCGATTTGTCAATCATATCAATATCTATGAATAATAGATAATTTTTGATATTGATAAGACACAACTTATTTTTATAGGCATAGATGCCATAACCGATGAAAATTTACAAATTGCATTCTCTGCTGACGATACAAATTTATTAATGTAAAGGAAAATGCCAGCGAAGCTTTAGATAACGCAATACTGGTTTTCCATAATACCAACAATTGGTTCTACCAAAATACGCTAATATTAGGTAACTTTTGAAATTTAGTTGAAGTTAGAGTTATTAACTAGTTTTGGTTTGTACATTTTTGAGTTTAATATTTATATGGTTACGGTATCAGAAATGTAAATTTCTCTTATCCGATACATCGATTGACGATTACAAAGAAAGGTGCATACTACATGTGCATAAAACTTTTTAAAAACCTGTGGCTTTCCTTAAAATAAAAGCCTTCATTTTCTTTTGTGGTGTTATTACATATTTCTAAATGCTTACCAAATATAATATGTATCAAATTTGTATTAAAAAAGGATTATTATTAGATATACCTTTTCACCAGGTTCAATTTTGAAATTTAACTTTTTAAGCACAGGAGGCTCTCCGGATGCGTAATTCAGGCTCAAATCTCGAAACTCAATTCTTCCTTTGCCGGGCCATGGCTTTTCGGGTAGGTTCTCTGCAATTAATAGGTGTTTAACTTCGAACCGACGTGAACCAAGTACAAAAGTCAACCTTTGGGCGTTTCAAATGGCCCCTCCGTGTCGAGTTTGGTATACTGCATAACTCTCTCGACACTCGTGAGTTGATTGACTACGTCTGCGGTTTGTCTCATACCGTACTGAAGCATTCCCGTTAGTATTAAAGACTGGGAAATCGCTAGGCCTACCAAGCTTCCGTTTTGGTCAAGCAGATTATCTGAAAACCAAACGAGGATACCATGGGTGTGAAACTGCCACGTAGGCGAGTACTTACAGTCTGCGGAAACGACAAATCCAAAAGTTACACAGGCGACAAATATCACACAAATTATATCAAGCCATAGTCCGAAGGAAACAGTGCACATTATAGTGAGAAACCAAGCTGAGGTGTGGACATTCTACAAAGGTTTCTTTAGTTACTGCAATGCTTTTTCGCCATATTAAGTAAGGTGAGGTGCCAGAGTTTACAACAAAATTATTCTTTTGAATGAAAAAAAAAAAACACACACACACGAATAACTGGTTCAAAAAATACAAATTCAAAAAGAACGAAGCATTGGTTCTTTTCTTGTTTTTTCGTATGCCTCTGGGCCCAGTTATCCATTGAAATTGGACCTTCTGGACCACGCCGATAAGGCTTGTTAGTAATATGAAGGGAGTCGTTTGAAGAGTCCGGGCCTAATTCCGAAATTTTCCCAACTATGACAATAAAACAGGATGCTTACGTTACAAATATACAAATTCAAATATTATTATCGGGTACTTGGAGTTGCGAAATAAGCTGATTTCATTTTAGAACACTGCAGGTAAGGCCACTCACTCAAGTCGGTAAACATTATATTTATATTTTGTTGCTTTATTTCGTAAAGGCGTCGATAGTTTAAAAACAATATTTTTTTTACCTAAGATTCTTCCCGAGTCTCTTAAAACTTCATCCTTTCATCGTGCCTCTTAAAACATTTAACCCCGAAACTTGGGGCGTCACCATTTTGGAAAAAGATGAACTTTAGCTATTTGGTGTAACTAGCACCAAGCTCTTTTTGCCAATAAAATCTTGTTTACTTTACAACTCATGTTTACAGAATTCTACAAGGCTAAACCACCAAAAAACCTTATCATTAAGCATTCGTAATACATATTCTTTAACATGAAGTAGGAAAACAGACTAAAATACTCTCAGTTTTGGTTTTTTTCTGTTTTTTTACTTTTATACCTTCAGGAATGCAGGATTATATTTCAAACAATTCAACTGATAGGCATACAAATTGCTTACTAAACGCAACTGAAATTCAAATCCAGTAACATTATGATTTTTGACTGATTGTTTTGTATTTAAAGATAAATATAAAATAAAAAATGAAAAATATTTTAACATACTTGTTTTCCAAGTAATTATCATTTGCATTATCAAGGCGAATACAGAATAGAGAGGTCGAAACCACTGTAATTTTCCTATTATTAAAGATAAATAATGAGAATTCAAAAAACTAACCGTTGGTAAAGGACATGCAACGAAAAACGCTGCATCAAATAAGGCAAAGAAGATAATTGTTTTACCGAAACTTAAAAGTTTAAAACGCTTTACATATTTCTTTAATTTTGTAAACAAGTTAGCAAGCCTGCTAGCCGAAAATAAACTTCAAGGGTTGTCAAACTAATTCAAGAACTTATTTATTGTGGAGAATGTTTTTTGAGTGATTTACCTGGTGTTCGTCGAACTCTTTAATTAACGTTGACTCCAACTGGGAGGCCCTTATGGTCGTCAGACCCGCCAGGCTCGATGTTACGTGCGAAAATACTGGCGATTTTGCTAAAAATTGCAACGTTATTTTGCATACTATATACAAACTGTCTCGAACCAGGAAACATCGCGAATTTGAGTTTCCTACCTATGCCCTCCAAATGCTTAATGTCTTTCGCGCTGGCCACGTACCAGGATCTAATTTTTAAAAATATCGCTCCCAAAAGTATCATAGCAATGACCATGTAGTAGTTGGAAATCGTTACGTTGATTAAAATACCCGCCATCACGAGTATTATCTGAAACAGTTATAGTCGTTACAGAACATTGACAAATATAATTCATATTTATAAAAGACGTGTCTCAGAAATTTATAGAAATAAACTTGTTTTTCAAATTCTGATTCAAATTTAAAAACGATTTATTTCCATTACATCAAAAACACATACATAGCTACATAGGATAAAACAAATATAATATTAAAATATTATCACACTCAAAAATATCATTTAAGTTAACTATCTTTTCCCAGAAATCTATTTGGACAGTGCAAATAGTGCAGTGATTACAAAGTTTTATAGGCATGACTGGGCTAGATTGGCCACAATGAATAATTTATGCCTATTCATTTTCTTATCAAAATTAGGTCCTAATTGTTTACTTAGGTTCAAATTTTTAACTGTTTTGACTTTTACATGGTGAAAATTCGTTTGACACGTTAGATAGGAACACAAAATTATTCGGCTTTTCAGGAGAATATGTTTATTTAATCTATCATAGCTGTTTCGACCACAAAGTGTGGGGAATTATCTAAATCTACTTTTTGACCCAGAATATAAAATTTGAAAAATGTCTTCAAAATTGTGTTCTTTGAATTTAAGTATTACACTCTTAATGTATGCTCTCTAATCTGTTTGTCAAACATAAACTTACAGGAGTTCAAAAAATGTGCTCGGTTCCTTAGCTGAATTAATTAAATTAGTAAAAAGAAATTATTTAGGCCCGTTTTGTAATTTTGAGGTATTCCCAATTGAATAATAATAATATTAATAATAATAATAATAATAACAATAATAATAATGCCTTCATTTTTCTTATTGCAGCCAATACATAAAAGAAAAGTGTAATTGGAGTAGCGAAGTCTAGCTTGAACCTACTCATATTCAATCACACTGGTATTGAGAAAATAAGAAATGTTGAAAGAAAGATAAAAAGTAAAACAAGGAGTAACAGTGCGATCTTACTAGTGCCATGAAAAGAAAACCTACAGGTATACAGTTTTATACCTCAGATCTAAAGCAATCCTTGAACTTTTCCTTGAATATACATAGTCGCCTCATGATGATGAGTTCCCAATCTAAGCTAATTAGAATTTGAATATGAAGCAGTTTCAATCCGTAACAAAATCTGTTTTGTAAATTTTGGAGGCTTTCTCTGTCTTGCCGAAGAAGTGCCGGCCAGCATTACACACTGCAGAGTTGTTAACGTGAAGTTTGTGTGCAAGGGAGATGTCACTTCCAATCTTTAGATCATGATTTATTTGATATTCTGCAGTGTCGAGACTCGTGGTTTAAAAATTGAAATATAGTTGAAAGTCATGTGCAAATTGACGAGAGGTGGGATAATTAACCTAATGAGGTGCAAAGCGAGAACAATAAAAGTCCCACAACACTACCCTGGGAAACACTTCGAACCACATCCAAGAAATTAGAATATGCGTTGAAATACTTTTCGACTCCTAGCATGTAAGAAATTTCGTAAAATGCTCAGCTAAAATCAAGAAGGACTAGATTTGTCTTCACCTGCGGCACATATATCATCAGATACTTTTGTGCTACGTTGAGCTCTATAACCGAATTGCGTAGAACGAATTATAGCATTCTACAAAGAATATTCGCTCAACTGTGTGCGTATAACTTCCTCTAGGATTTTAGATAGAACCGGTAGAAGACAATAGGAGTAAAATGAGAAAGCTCAGGGTCACTGTTCTTAGCTACTGGCATAACACTGGCCAACTTCAAGCCACTGCAAAACTTGCAGCAGCATATACAATAATTAATTATGTAAGTGATGATCTAATAGATAAGGGGTTGTATTTTCATAATATATAGTTCAAGTCCATTAAATCCTTTAGCATTAGAGCGTAGATGTGAAAACTGAAAGTGATTATTAACATAATTTGAAACATTATTGATATAGTGGTTAATGTATGTATTGTTGACTGGCCTATTAACCACGAAGAAACCATTAAACTCATTAGGAGTGCCAAAAGCAAGAGAAACATTGAGATATGAATACTAATCCAACGCAAGGTGCGGAAAAATTCCTTAGGATTAACATGAAATTGGTGATTTAAAATTCAAGGCGTATTTTTCGTTTCAAATCAATGTTGTAACCAGATTTCTAAGGATTTTATATTCTTTCCATGGACCAAAAGTTTTTTTATATTTTCGATGTGCAGTCGCATCATATATTTAATATTAGAAGTTTTCCACGGTGTAGTTGGTTTAGTTATACCAGAGCATACATAATTTGGTCTGAAATTGAAACTTGAATTGAAGCCACCCTAACTACTTTCGCATACCTGGATAGCGTCTATCAACACTCGGGGTAGAGCCTCATCTATCGCTCCCATATCCTTGGAGAATCTGTTGAGCACTCTGCCGCTGGGATTAATGTCGAAGAACCTCATCGGAGTCTTAAGCAGACAGTGAAACATCTTACTGTGGATGTGTTTGGACGCCAACATAGCTACCTTATAGAAACAAAATGAACGCGCTATGGTTACGACTACAGCGCCTATTATGAGACACGCGTAGATGTAAATCGCGATGTTTGTTTTAAAGAGGATTTGCGTTTGTCCGTTACTTTCAACTCTATCGAACAGATCGCTAGAGTCGAATACGCTTCTTTCCATGGGTTGTCTTTCGACGTAGGTATAGTGGGTCAAATCTGGCATACGAACGTCGGATAAGTTGAACACTTCAACTTGTTCCAGCGGAATTTGCCCAACAATGGGCTTGGAATCGTTCAAATGTCTGATTTCTTCCTGGTTTGTCCTGGGGCGGTGACGATTACAGTTTAAATCACCGAGACTGTTTAGCGTCTTCTTACCAATAAGCTACCCAATAGTCGGCTCCGGTACAAATCGCTTGAGCCAAGATTAAGACGAAAAACATGGCCACGACGAAAAATTCATTCCCGACTGCTTTAAAATATTCTTTGAGGGAACCTCCCTCGTAAACACCAGTCTCTTGATTTTCGTCCTTGATTGTTTGATCGATCGATGATTCGGATAGACTCTGAAAAAAGCCCGTGATTTTGCTATTTTACTATATGTAACTGAAATAACAAAAATTAAGTGAAGGTAACTTAACTAAGCCAAAGTATAATTTAGTAGAATCAGACAAGCACAAGGATCACTGAAGTATCATTTTCACATGAGTTTAATCTGCAGGCGTAATATATAGAGAAAAGTACCCGTATGGAAGCTTTCCTGGAACGTATACCTTCCATTGAATTCTCCCTGGACAATTTCCCCTTTTCATCATGCGATTCGTCTGCTGCGGCCAACAATTTGGTGAAATCTAAATCACTGCTTAAAAGCTCATTGAATGTTCCCATAGCCTCAATTCTACCCTAAATTGAAAGATCAATAAGAAAATGTATTGGACCTAGTGTGTAAGAAGCAGTTAGATTTTTACAAACCTCTTTCAGAACCACGATAATATCTGCTTTCTTTAAATACTGCAACTGATGGGTCACCAGAACTCTCGTTCTCCCTCTCAAGTATCTTACGATGCACTTGTCAAACAGATGCTTCCCAACATGCGTGTCAACCGCCGACAGAGGATCGTCTAGTAAAATCACGTCCGCGTCTCTGTAAATGGCTCTGGCTAAATTTATCCTCGCCCTCTGGCCACCGCTTAAGGAAACTCCGCGTTCACCCACCAGTGTTTTATCGCCTTAAAGTAAACGCGTCAGCAATCGAGAGGAACTGATCTGGAGGTTAGAAAGCCTACCGTGTGGAAACTGCTCGAAATCTTTTTCCAGTGCGCATCTATCTGCCACTTTTTTATATAAAGTAGCGTCGTACGGTTTACCGAACAAGATGTTTTTCCTCACGGAAGAAGCAAACAACCATGGCTCTTGCGAAGAGTACGAAACTGTCCCGCCTAGTTGGACTTTTCCAGATTCGGGAGAGATTTCACCTAGAAGCAACTACACCAAAGTTAAAAACGTTTAGAGTGGTACTTCAATCAGCTTACACACAAAATCTGTGGTTGTTTTGTAACCATTGACGATCCCCTGATGATTAGTTATTAATTATTAACGAATATGAAGTTTATCCCTATCGGCGCAGATGATGTTTAGTCCGAAAAAGTTATTTTTAAATATCGGCACTTTTTGGAAATTCAATTCGTTCAAGCATCCAGGAGGAGAAATTATTTAGGTGTCATAATTCACTCACTTGAAGCAAAGAAGATTTTCCAGCACCAACAGGTCCGATGACGGCGCATAGACTTCCTTTTGGGACGAGCAAATTAAAGTTTTTCAGCACGGGCGTGCCGGGAACCCAAGAGGCCGTGACGTTTGACACTCTAATCTCATTTTCCGGTAGTTCTTCCACCACCGATACCTGTTTTTCGTCCAGAACTAGTACGTCCTCGAGTCGTTTCACCGAAACCCATGCTTCTGCACCCAGACTGATAGCCATGGGAAAAAATATCGCCATGGCGGCTGTATAGACAATCGATAAATAAGCAGCGGATTTTTTTCCTCCCCTTGTTGTTACCCTGAAGGATGTTGAAAAATTGGGCCATCGAAAAGACCTTGTCAGCCGTGATGTTGTGTCCCAAGAGTACGTAACAAACAACCGTCAGGAACAATGTACTCCTCTCTATGAAAACCATGCAGCTCAGCATAAATCCTCTGACGTACGAAGCGCTAGTCAGCACCTTAATCTCTCTGGCCCTCAAGTATTTGATTATCTGCTCTAATGGCTTTTCCCAGGCGTACATCTTAATTACTTGTATTCCTGAGATAATTTCGCTCATCAACTTTACTCGTTGATCGGTTCTCTGAGCTACCTTTAGGCGAAGAGTCGAGGTAAGTTTACTAAGATATGCTAAAAGTGTTAGCTCAGGTAACGTAAAGGCGATTGGATAACAGGAAAACTTTACCTTGCACGGGCAGCGTGCAAAGTGCCATAGACAAGATCCCAGCCAGGGATGATATTCCGACTTCCTGCCAGATAAAATAAGACACTAGTATTACTTGGAAGGGCATGATCCAGAGATAGTGCAAAAATACAGCCACAAAATCGAATCTTTGAACATCGTTGGATAATAAATTTATAACTTGACCAGCTGCTGTTTGGCCTTGGGATCTTTTGTTTAGTCTCATAATCTGTAAGTAAACAGCCAGTAGGAAATGTGTTTACCCATCTGGCGTAATAAATTACGTTTGGGTTGGTGTTTACCTTTCTGTAAATCAGAGATGAAACGGCGATCCTCACCCTCATCCCTTCGCAAGATTGTCCGTAATTGGTGTGATGCATGAAGAAGATCATTATGCCTGATATTGCGATGAGAGTGCCCGACGATGCGTACATCCATGTTCGATCTCTAGTGACGCCAGGTTGAAACTGGGTAATTACTTGAGACAGAACCAGTGGTTGTGGTGACCTGTTAAGTTGCATGATTCATCTGCGGAGAAGTTTACTATACTCCTTACCTTAGAAGTATATTCGAAATAAAAACAAGTGCCCCGTATTTCATGTAATGCCAGAAGAAAGTATTGGATAGTGCCCTTAACAAACTGGGCCTCGTTCCCTTTTCCTTTGCCCTTTTGGCTTCTTCGTTCCAGTGTAGCTCCAGTTTGTTTCCCAAGTATTGAGATTCATCGCAGTCGAGCGTTTTATAGAGATCGTCCAGTTTTAATTCCCTTCTTGTACCTGTGTAATAAAGTTTGACTACCCATCTGCAAAAAAAAACATTACTTAACACATGCCAGTGATATTAGAATGAGAATAAAATATATCATTTTAGGCAAAACATATCACCCCATTTTTAAATTAAATTTATGTTTTTGCAAATGATACTGTAGAATTTATAGGTTTCTTATATTACTTATACTTTAACCTCAAGATCTCAGTAATAGTATATTATGCAACAAGTGCGGTAAGCATTTGACTTCGAGTTTATTTGACACGAGCGGAGGGCAGCAGAGCGAGTTTTTAATAAACGAATGAGTTAAAAAATTTACGGAACGTGTTGCATACTATACTTTTTCTACGACCGTTAGTTTTTGGGCACATTTTTGCAAAAAAACACGAATACATTCACTGATATGACTGTCAGAATTGACAAACGTCAAAATTCAAAGCGTGGGACATATCTCCGAAAACATCCGATTGCTCCCAAACCCGTGCGGTAAAATCCCGGAAATGTCCGAAGTGGCTTTGATCCGTGGGAAACGAAACTGGCGTGGTAAAGTGGCAATTCCCGCATGCTAGATCGGTGCGTAATTAGGTATTTTACAGACGGGAGTAGAAAAATATTATTTCTCTATGCTCTAACAAATACTACAAATTTTTGCCGTGTATGAACATTTCCAAGAAGGGTTTTATTATTTTTTTAATTTTTATCTAGAGTTTTAAGTATGATTTTTCCTCACTTCTTAGATTATACTTGCTACTCAGAAAATAAATATTATTCAAATTACAACATTTTTTTTTTTAGAGAAGTAGGTGTCGTATTAATACAATATATTAATTTGCTGTCAAGTATCATTTATCCTTCCCGCAATTAAGGTTTAGTAACGAATATATTAGTGTTTTATGATAATACATTATCAAGAATACTTAAGTTACGAGTTTGTTTAGGCACGAGCGAACGGGTTTATTTTTGAGGTCATTAGGTTTTTGGTATATCTTTGCAAAATATTCACTGAATAAAGTGCGACCTGACCATCCAAAGTGACAAACGCCAAAATACGATATCTTCCAAACCCGCGACTAAAGTACCTAACCAAAAACAAGTTTTAGCGCAGCTGACGTCTTAAAGCGTCAGCCTGATGCATATTTTAGGATTTGAAATTAACCCAGGAATTCCGTATTTTGCTCAATAAAAAAGTAGGTAATTGTTATAATTTTTAATATTATATAACACGTTAATATCAGCAAATGTTTGTTGTTAGATAATAAGTATCTCGTGGACCTTTGTTAAAAGTTAAAAGTTTTAAGTATTACGCAAATATCTATACAAAAAATAGATCCAAAAGTAACTTTGAAATGGATAAATAGTTATAAAATTCAAAAGTATTTCGACAGTGGAGATTCTATTCTTGAAATTTGTAATAATAAAGGGCCTTTATTCGGTATGACGAGAAATTTTGAAAAGAATAGAAAAAATGGACAAATTGTTAGTAAAATCCAGAAAAATCCGTAGCAGTTCCTTGTTTACGTATACTTACATAATCTTTTAAATATTTTCACGTATAATTATCAAAACAAGTATCCTAAATTTTAGTAAACTTATAATAACATTTATCGTTTATCAGTTTTTGTGTAATAAGGCGAAAGGCACTGACATGACGCACCATTTTATAATAACTTCGATTACTGCAGTATATAAGGCGATTCGTGTTGAGTTTTGTTAGTTTAAAGTTCTGGACAAATAATCTAAAAAAATTAGGAATTTGGATGTCAGATATGATATTTCATGGACATTATCGGAAACTCACATTTACCCGAAACTTATGGCAATTCTGAAATTACAAATGTAACACCCCATATTTTATTATAGGTTCAGATTCTACACAAAATTAGGTGTAATTGACTTTTGTTCCTTTATAAGATCTATCTACATCTATTCCTAATGTTTTTGAAAAAAACTTACTTCTGAAGTAAAGTAAAGAAAATTCATATACACGTAGGCTCGGAAATGCTTATTTTCGAAAATTTTCCAAAAGAGTTGGGTTTGTTTGTAGATTGTTTGCGATGGCCAAAAGTACAGGTATTTCGAAATTTAAAAACCACAAGAACAAAAGATAATCTTAAGAATGGAGGAAGGGTGTCAAGGGCACGAAAGTAGACTCAGATTCAAGTAGAGCAAGTAGAAGTACTTTAAATAAAAAACAGATCAGAAAAATAATTCTATTTGCATATTTTATAGGGATGAATATCTTTTAAAGAATACGTGGAATAATTGGAGTTTTTCTTTGCAGGAAATGCTGTTGAAATATTATTTTTAAATAAGAAAGTACTTAATTCCCTTTTTTTCTGACCTATGTATTACCGCACATTTCATGGGCAAAGTCGTCCATAATAGAGAAAATTAAGCATGAAATAGACATTTCATAAACTAAAGTAAAATGAATTTTTAGTATGAATAGCTTTTCATTTTCTTGCTTTTTCTGGAAAACTAAAAAAAAAGTAAAGTTGTGCGTTCCAGGGAAACTCTCCCTCCCTCCCTCTTTTTTTCGTAACGTGCTGCGTTTTCCAGCGAAAAAAAAAACGTAAAATTCGCAAAACATATTTCTGTGTATACTGGATGTTTTGATAGAAAAATAATAATAAAATAATAAAATTGAATCTTAATTATCTAATGACATTTTTGGGAGTAACTGGTTTCAATCTTAATTACATATTTTAGGGATGAAGGACCCAAACCAAGAAAAAAGAACAAAGAAAAGAATAAAGACAAAAATTCTAAAAATTAAAACAGAAGAGTCAATAATAGACAATCACATTTCAGATGACCAGAAGAAAAAGACAGACAATCTTTTGTGTAGTAAAAAATAAATTATTACTATGTTTGGAGCAAACCCTTGAGCCATGAAAATAGTTCAAAACTTTTAGAAACGAAGAGGTATTTCTTTTATATGCTATTTACTAGTTGCACCAGACAGAAATAAAACCGAGCCCCATACGTACGCGAAAAATAATTTCGAAATTATATTAGCTTTCCTCCTCGGATTTTCCAATTTTAGCTCAAACGCGGCATCCATTAATCCAAAATTTAGAAACTGCACCCACTAAAATCTTCTCAAAACTTCAAAAGCACCCGTCGTGCCCCTCCGACCGAAATTACTCTCTGATTTGACCTCGACGACTATTAACACGATTATAAAGAAAAACCATCCTTTTAAATTGTAAAAGTTATTGTTGTACGTAAAAACAACGGCATTCTTATCGTCCCTAAGTAAATTTACCGAAGCAGAGGCGTATTCGATGGAATACTTAAAAAAATATGTTGAACATAATTGTAAAACATTTGGTACTCTGAACATCGACCCAATACGAGATTCTCCTTTAATGATAGATAGATCTTATTGGTTGAAGATGTCCGGCAAGCGATAAATCGATACTGAAAGTATTACACGTGGAAGGAACGAGTGCAGCTGAAGCCAGGCCAAAGGAATGATATCTAAAACTTTGAATGCCATTTAAACACGTTCCAGATATGATAGTTTCCGTACACATAGCATATACTTAATTGCATGCTAAATTGCGTCTTTAACCTTAACCATTGGCTTTGTTTACAATTCTTGTATATAAATGAGCTTTGATAAATTTAAATGACCTCTATCGGAAAATAAATCAAAAATTGCATGAAAAAAGAAAATAAAAATTCCATCCCATTAGCACTGCACAAATTTGAAAATTAAAATGGAATGTGATTACTTTTTCTTTTGTTATCAATGTATAACAGCGATTGTTGTTCATTTTAAAGGAGAAATTCCCATTCTCCTTAACATAGAACAATAATTATATTTATGGCGAATGCGCCGGACTTACCAAAGCCCGTTATAGCAATTTTTGGTGAAATTTTTAATATCGTTTCCTTGCGAACCGAACTGAAAGCCCTTATTGGTATATCCACTCCCAATTAACAATTTGTTTGAAATTTGGCTGTGACCGATAAAGGTTAGATGGCTAAATCGAAAACACAACAGAAATCTAAAAGGGTTTTATTTTCTTGGCCGAACGGCGGAAAACGAAAATTTGACGTACTCTCAAAAAATTAGGATTAGTTTAAACAAAATATAAAATATAAGTGCAAAATATAAAATACCAATTGTAGTTTATCAGATTTTTTTAATGTTAAAACTTATTTTATTAACTTTAGGATTTACCTTTTGATATAAGCTAATTACGAAATGTTTTCGATCGATAGAAAAAGCTTATCAAGAATGAATTAAAGTTCTAAAACATTTACACTGTTTTTTTGCATAAATGAAATACCGTGCAACAGCTTGAACATTCTTTTGATGTTGATGCATAATTTAAGTCTAAATCTTTTGCTGCACTTCATTCAGTTTGATCCATAATTAATATAATAAATATCTATAATGTTCGTGAAAAACAATTTAATTGAAAATTGACAATTTCAAGGCAACATATTTATAAAAATCATATCAACTTCCTTTATTTCCGAGTCCTTCATACTTAGATATAAAATAACGATTTTATTTCATTGATTTTATAATATCTGCAATGAAAAATAACGTTTTTTTTTCATTCATTTTGAATAAAAATAAATTGTGAAAAATTTTGAAAGAAATACTTTGCATATCTAGTTTCTTTTTTGTCATTAGAAATTAATTTATATTTTCATGTTATTTTTACTTTTATATAATTTTATTTACTTGATCTCAGAATAATCAGCGCTTCTCTATAATTGTAATCATATTCAATTATTATTATATTTGTTATTACATTACTCTCATTCACGAAACTCGCCTTTTCCTCGTATGTAAATTAGTGTGACCCTAATTTAGGAACGATTCCAATCTTTGAAACTGAAATTCGGAATTTATCGGAAACTATAATTGCAATTTATATGAACCTTATGATATAACATTTAACTTTATTAAGAAATTAGGTAGTGCTAATTATATAATTAATTATATTTTCGTTCATAATTTTTCTTTTGGTTAATTAAAGTTAATGAAAAGTACTTTTTTTAAAACTTTTGGGATATCAACACGAAGAGCTACTAAAAATTTTTGTAAATTTTACTTAAACTTTTACTCGAATATCAAATCACAAAAAAAATCAGATTAATTGAATTGCAAAAGCCATTCCATTTAACAATTGTAAGATATTTTTAAAACTAATACCCAGGACTTGAATGAACTTGAAAATCGGACCATCTAAACACAAATTTAGTACGGTGTTGATTTGACCTGTCAGTATCAAGCCAAATCCGTATGAAAAAAGTTCATAAATGTCTCATCGTTTCTTGTTGTTTATCATCTGGTTTGCATGAATTTTTTACTTCTATGCTCAATTATTTTGAAGGCATGAAGTTTTTTCGTCCTGTTTTGTCATAATAATTTTGTCTTTGTCAAGTAGTAAATGTGGTTTTAACGAATATTTCTTTAGAATTTTTTATATGTTTTCAGTGATCTTTTGAATGTAAGGAAGGACAACAGTGGCACGTGTGGGATTGCGCTCTGACTCATTTTCTTTGGAAGTGTGTGGTGGTGAAGTGTATTTTCGTCTGAGGCAATGTTCATGCCCCTCCATTAGCTCCGCCTCCCTCAAACAGTATGTAAGCAAGTACAGTGTAGAATGCGAGCCAGTTCCTTTTAAGCACTAAAAAAGCCAGCAGGATGATTGCCGATTTAGCAACAACCACAGCAGGAGGAATCCAAAAAATCTGTAAATAGTATTTGGCATATTGATAAGAATACTAAAGTATGTACATTAGACTTTTAAAATAGGAAATATCGGTAAAAATATTTATACATAAAATAAAGTATTTTCAGTCTCGCAGTAAAATCATTGCCAAATGTAAAATAAATCGTACTTTTTGTTCGAGATAGGAAAATGCTTAAGTATTATCTAATGTTAATTAATTTAATTAATAAGTAATTAATAGTATTGAGCTTTTGATAGACTGCAACACGACAAACTTTTTAAAAGGTGTGGGATAGAATTATTGAAAATTTGTACTGGAATCAAAAGGCCGTAGTGAAAATTAGACCGCTTCTCAACGATAAGTTCCAGAGGGGGGAGCGGCAGGGTTGCGTTCTCTTGTTTCGGTTGTTCAATCTATATTCCTACGAAACTTTTAATTAAGCCATCAGCGATAGCATGTCAGCATTGATCATAAATTGAAAAACTGTTAATAACATCAGATCACACTTTAACGTAAACGTAAACATAAACTAATTATATGATCATTAATAAACATGTCTCACATCAGAATGATGACATTTATTTGGAGGGAGCACCTCTGAAACGAGTTGAAAAGGTGAGGTATTTCGGCAGTAACATCAGCAATAGATTGGACTAGTGTTGAGACTGTTGAATGTTGACCAAGGGTCAACATTCAACAGTCTCTTTTATTTATACTTTATTTATTTGTTTATTCGTCCTTAGAAAAATTAGGGAGAACTTAGACCAAAATGCCCTAATGACAGTATATTATGCTTTATTTCATTCCCACATATCATAGGGCACAATATTATGGGGAAACTCTGTCAATGCTGTTCAAATATTCAGGATAATGAGACTGCCCTGTATCTATATTCTCCACAATCTTTTAGAAATTAGTTATCCAACACGTGCAAAAAATCTTATAAGAGTTCCAAAGCATAGACTTGTTCCACCAGACAAAAATTCTTTAAACATTTTTATAAATTCTTATCTACAAAAATCTGGGATGCATTTTCGGGCAATGGCGAATAGTTGTTCGGCACAATCAAGTTATTTCATTGAGTTAAATACAGCTATTCAAGTTATTTTGTTTACCTTAGATGTCGAGAAAACATAAAAGCACAACTATCAAATGTTCTTGGACAGCAGAAAATATGCTGTCTACAATAAATGCTGTTTAAAATGGTAGAGGCCTGAGAGTTTCTGCACGATGCTTTGATGTGCCTGTAACAATCCTTTACGCAAGAGTTAAAAAGGGAAGATACGGCAAGCCAAGGATGGGGGTTCGTATCATATTCTCTGAAGAACAAGGTCCGGAGATTTCTGACCATTTGTTACAATTATCCCAAATCTCTTACGGTCTTACACTAATACAATTGAGACGAGCTGCTTTTTTATATATGGATCTATGCATTTATCAATAGGCATCCCGAACTCCGCTTTAGAAAACCAGAAGCGACAAGTATTAATAATAATAATAATTCAAGACTTTAACGAAGAAGAAATCAACAGATCAACGTCGATGAAACAAGAATCACTACCGTTAACAGACCGCCTCGAATCATTGCGAAAAAATGGCAAAAGCAATTTGGAGCTATAACTAGTGGGGAAAGAGGAAAAAATATTACAGTGTTTTGTTGTATGAGTGCGAGTGGTTCATTTACCCCACCTTTATTTATTTTACCCTAGAATGAAGATGGAATGAAGATAGCACAGGCTCTATTTACACATATACTAAGAGCTTTTGGATGAAATATTTTTCCAAAACAAATAACACTACAAAATACAATCCTGTTCTTTTGACTCTCGACAATCACAGAAGTCACATTCAGCCACTGGAATTGCCTTTTTATTGATCCCTTAAAAAAGCGTACAAAAATAAGGAATGTGACTTATTCTTAAAATCGAGGCCATATGAGATTTTGATTACTGATGTTAACGGTATATTTACTAAAGCCTATATTTCAGTCTCTGCTGCAGAAAAAGTCACAAAGGTTTTTGAAAAGCCTGGGATTTTTCCTATTAATCGTGGTGTATTTCGTAAGGAGGACTTTTATGTTTCCCTGAATTCAGTTGAACCAATCACAGAAGAACTGATAGTGGCGAGTATTGAATATTTTCTACCTTTGCCGAAAAAGGCCCAGGAGAACACAAATAACTCAAAATAACAAAGACGATGCTCAAAACAAAAATCAGAAATCCTTACGTCTACGCCTTTGAAATCGGTATTGGAAGAGAAACAAAAGAAAAAGATGATAAAAGAAGACAAAGAGAAAAGAGGCAAAAAAGTACATAAGAAAGATAAGTATATACAAAAAAAAAACGGTCATTCGACAAGTGTTTAACTCGTCTAATAGTGAAGATAAAGATGATATAAATGAGAAAAACCTTTGTGACGATGACGAATTGGATGATATGGATTTAGAACATATGGAGCCAG